TGTTCTGTAAGCCTTCACCTGAAGTACAATAAAAAAAAAAAAAAAGTACAGTCAGAACTAGTCACAAAGTGGATAAAAATGATTTAATATGAATAGTACAAAGTAAATGTGACCAATAAATTACTCTTTCACACTCAAATTTGTCAAAACCTAAGGGGGCAAATGTATAAAACTGCAAATCAAAGCCCTTCCTTTTAGGAATTTTAGAAATTAAAACAAATATGTAAACAAATATTTATAATTTGAAAGGAAAGCACAACTATAAAAAATGGATTTTAATAGAGCTCTAATTGGGGGTTAAACTCATATCTGTTGCTTAGTTGTCACTGGAAAAGCTAAACTGAACAAATAATTTATAATATTCTTTTATAACATAAAATTTGCTTTTAAATCACCATTTATAGAATTTTTCAAAATTAGTATCCTATATGAATACAAAATGTATTGAATACACAAGTGTGAAAATCTGCTACTATGGAAACCAAAATCTTTGTAAAACTCTGACATATGTAATTTGACATGAACTTTTTTCATGAAAATAACATTATCTGATTCTCAATCCAGTGATTTAGATATGTATATATTTGTTAAATAAAGGGGAAGTTAGGGTTACGATGCTAAGAAATAAGAGTACCTTACCATCACTAGGAGTCCCTGGGTGGTGCAAAAGCTTAACGCCCTTGACTGCTAACCAGAGGTTGGCAGCTGGATTCTATCCAGAGGTGTACCTCTGAAGAAAGCCCTAGTAATCTACTTCTGAAAAATCAGCCACTGAAAACCCTTGGAGCACAGTTCTACTGTGACACACATGGGGTTGTCATGAGTCAAACTAGACAGTAACTGGAGTGCAATCACTAAACCAGTCTGTGGTTTTTAAAAAGAAATAAAATTACATTAAGCATTGTACTGTGGACTCTGGGTGGTGCAAATAGTTAAGGGCTTGACTACTAGCCAAAAGGTTGGCAGCTGAAGTCCACCCAGAGGCACCTTAGAAGGCAGGCCTAATGATCTGCTTCTGAAAGGTCACAACCTTGAAAACCCTATGAAGTAGTTCTACTCTGCACACATGGGGTCACCATGAATTGGAATTGACTCAACAGCACCCAACAACAACAACAAGCGTTCTATGAAGTGAAAAAATATTGTTTGTGATACCTTGAGTATCCTTAATGAGCCTTTGTGGCACAGTGGTTAAAGCGCTCAGCTGCTAACCAGAAGGTCGATGGTTCAAACCCACCAGCCATTCTGCAGGAGAAAGATGTGGCAGTCTGCTTCCATAGAGATTACAGCCTTGGAAATCCTATGGAGCCGTTCTACTTTGTCCTATAGCTCGCTATGAGTCGGAACAGACTCAGTGACAATGGGTTTTTGAGTATCCTTAACCACAAGTCACTTGGAGGGAGAATAAAAAGCAACATCCTTAACCACAAGTCACTTGTGTGGGGAAAAAAAAGACCTGAATTTTCTGCTATTATTACTTTCAGAGACACCAGATTTTTTTTTTTTTAATAATCTGAATATAACTTGGCCACATTGTCTCACAAGGAAATAAACAAAGCACAGAAATATACTGAAACAAACGAACAAAAAAATCAAGGCTCTACTGTGATCCAGAGAATGCTTGACCTGCCAAATGTCACACAGCTAATAAGCAGCAACAGAACCCAGGTCATCCAATTCTAAGTCCCATGTACCTGTTGCCGTAGAGTCAATTCCGACTCACAGCAGCTCTACAGGACAGAGTAGAATTGCCCCACAGGGTGTCCAAGACTGTAATCTTTATAGAAGCAGACTGCCACATCTTCCTCCTGCATAGTGGCTGGTGGGTTCGAACTGCCGACCTTTTACTTAGCAGCCAAGTGCTTAACCACTGCACCACCAGGGCTCCTAAGTCCCAAATACTTTGACGGTTTTCCAAAGGAAGAGGGCCAACTACTTGGCTAGAGTGGGATTGGCAGAGTTCTAACACTGGCTCTACAGCTCACTTACTTAGACTTTTTCAAGTCAGTAAACTTCCTTATAAGGAGCCCTGGTGACAGCCCTTGGCTGCTAACCCAACAACAACAAACTTCTGTGTGCCTTGGTTTCCTCTATTACATGTGGATATTTTCACGATTAATATAAGCAAATAATTGAACTTTTGGGCAGAAAAGCACTATATCTATATATGTGTGTGTGTTATTGTTATCATTGTTGTTGGGTATCCTTGGGTCAATTCTGACTCATAGCAACCCTACAGAAAAGAGTAGAACTGATCCATAGGGTTTCCTAGGCTGTAATCTTTATACAAGGAGCCCTGGTGGTGCAGTGGTTAAAGCAATCGACTGTTAACTGAAAGGTCGGCAGTTCGAAGCCCCCCTCCACTCCACGGGAGAAAGATGTGGCAGTCTGCTTCTGTAGAGATTTACAGCCTTGGAAACCCTATGGGATTGCTATGAGTTGGATTCAACTCAGTGGCAGAGGGTTTGAGTTATACAAAAAGAAGCCTGGTGGCACAGTGGTTAAATGCTTGGCTGCTAAATGAAATATTGGCGGTTCAAATTCACCAGCTGCTCCACGGGAAAAAGATGTGGCAGTCTGTTTCTGTAAAGATTTATAGCCTTGGAAACCCTGTGGGGTAGTTCTACTCTGTCCTATAGGGTCACTCTGAGTCAGAAATCAACTCAACAGCAATAGGTTTTTGGTTTAACCTTTACAAGAGCACATTGCCAGGTCTTTTCTCCCGTGGATCTGCTGGTGAGTTCGAACCACCAACCTTTTGGTTAGTAGACGACCACTTACCACTTACCCACTGCGTGCTCGCTCTCTCCTCCCTCCTCCGCCACTCCCCCCCAAATATATATATTCTACTATGTTAATAAATTCCTTCTCCCCACTACAAATTTTCCAATCCAACCACCAACTCATGCTAATACATCTACTCCTCACTTATCGATAATCTTGCTATCCAACATTTCCCATTTATAAGAATAGTAAAAATCTACTATCCAACTATTTTGTGCATTAACTATGTATGTCTTGCAGTAATGACGCCAAGGTGTGAGGTGAGAGTAACGCTGGCTGTGATGGTTAAGACTGTGTGCCAACTTGGTTGGGCCATGATTCTCAGTGGTTTGGCAGTTATGTAATGATATAATTTGGCAGTTATGTAATGATGTAGTCATTCTCCGTTTTCTGATCTGATCTGGTCATCCTACATTTTCACATGATGCTGATTTTCACATAATGACCTGGTCTTGGCAACCTAACCATGTCAGTAAGTGAACAGTGGGTGTATCTTTTCTCTGGTGTTAATTTTATGCTTAAAATAACATTGTGTGTACGTGTGTGTGTATGGGTGTCTGTGTGTGTTTATCAGCTATCTTTCCACATGTCTGGCATTCTAACAAAACCCTTTTTCTCAACTTTCAAAATGCATGAATAATAGCACGATAACATTTTCATTTTTAGCAATACCATAGCCTTGCCACCCAAAGCTATGGAGAAAATTTTAGAAATTCACAACAAAATTTTCCACCACACTATTGTCAACTTCTATACAAATGCAATTCAAAAATCATATACTACTCACCCATCACTGTGATGCAGAAGAGGATGAAAGTGCATACTTCTTTCCAAAATTATAATTTCAATTGCAAATTAAACTTAGTATACAACATTTTAAAAAACAAAGATTACTAATATTCCTAATGCAATGGAAGTAAATGATAATTAATATTCTAATAACTCAGGCATCTGCAACATGTCCTCTATTTTGTCAACAAGATACAGAATCCAGCCACTTTACATACTCAAGTCTAAAAACTCTTCTCACTATTGAGAATAGAAAATTATTTATAGATAACCAAACCCAAACCCATTGCCGTCAAGTTGATTCTGACTCATAGTGACCCTACAGGACAGAGTAGAATGGCCCCATAGGGCTTCCAAGGCTGTAATCTTTATGGAAGCAGACTGCCAACATCTTTCTCTCGTGGAGTAGCTGGTGGGTTCAAACCACCGACCTTTCAGTTAGCGGCCAAGGCTTTAACCACTGTGCCACCAGGGCTCCTTATAAATAACCAAAGCTAATAGAAATTCAATTTTAAATTGTATTTAAATATAAGTAATGAATCTTAAGTTCATTACTTATACATTATTTTTACTCTTTTGACAGTATATCTACATTAAAATAATTTAGCTTTATCCTAATTTATAAAGACATATAACCAATTTACTTTTTCCTTTGCCACATGTATTTATCAACAATATTAGCATATAGCAACATATAATATTGAGGGAATAACAGTCCACTAAGAAGAGTATCCAGGTCAAAAATAGAAATAGTCAGTTGAAATAAAATATTACTGCAAATGATCACTATATACCTATCAGATAAAAGGGTTACCAAAGGTGAAGACTGAGTAGTAATCTCTAAAAGCAAAGCAAATGATTGCATTTTTATACAATGAGACTATGCTACCAACAATGGAATTTTAAAAAAAAAATTATGGTATAATCACCTTAAATCAATCTGATAAATATTTTGAATGAATGAATGAATGAATGAATACATGAATACGTGAATGAATGAATAATGAAGTCATAACAGTGTTTACCACCTTGAGACGTTCACAATAATTCGGAATACACAGAGAAGATGACTTGAATACAAAAAACTAGTTGAAATTCAATGTGGTTCACAGTAAAGATACAGTGGCTTTCTATATGTAGAACAAAGAATCTCAACCAAAAACATATATAGGACTAAGATACTCTCAAGTGCAATTATCAACACTTTAAAAAGAATATATACTTTTTACTGTGTAATTCTTTCCTGCCCCCCACCTCCCTGCATTTTTAAATGTTTAGCATAAGTGAACAACAAACCAGAATAGAATACACATTTTTAAAGGACTAATTTACGCATATTCTATTTAAGAACAACATACAACCACTTATAAATTTAGCCTTTTTTTAAAAAAGCATCCTTATATAAAACGGTGGGGGGGGGGAAATCCCTGCTATACATATGAAGCACAGTTTAAGCCCAATACAACTGACCAATCAAAATTAGTGAATGCACTGCATCTCTCTGCAGTGGAGAGAAGCGACAAGGTAGGCTGTCATTCTGCAAAAGCTGCCCAGAAAGGCTTTCCTCTGAAAAGCAGTGCAGTTCCTTTTTAGAAAGACTGAATCTAATGTTGTCTCTGGAGACATGAAGCCTTCAGTATGTTAAATTACTTTCATTATGTATTTTCAGATGCTTATTGATTACACAGTAGGAAGAGTGAGAGACAGCAGCAGCCTCTAAGCAGTACTACATGTTCTATACATTAGCAGTACTGCTGAAACAATGGCACAGTACAGACACATATTTTCATTAAGGTCATTTTTGAAGAGATGTTTATGACCCTCTTCCCCCAGTCCTCTACTAACAAGTGAACAAAATGAATCAATCAAAACTGGAAACGCTTCAACTACATCAAGAATTTATCAAATCTTTAGCAGAGGTAAGATGTGTTCCTTATTATAGTATACAGCTGCTTTTGAATCAGCATAGTGGGGTAAAATTACTTTGAAAATTTGCAGCCTAAATTGTATGAGTTACTTTGTTTAATTCTACTTACTGCTAAACATGCATTTTTTAGATCTATTTCTTTTAAGACATGATATATTTTAAATGTCATTTTTTAGGATGCATTGTTAAATACAAAGAACATTCTTTGTTAATTCACTATGAAGACATCAGTTTTAAATCATTTCAGACATACTAAATATTCTTAATGTTTCTCAAGTGTTAAAAAAATGCCTATATTTCTTGAAAAAATCAGGTTTACTACATTGTTATTATTTATTACTTAGTTTTCAAATAAGTTTATTATTGGGCATGTTCATTGAAAATTATTCAATTTGTAGTTACATTTTTGTATTGTCTTTTACATTTCAACCACATGAACAATCAATGGAAATTTATAGTATCTTATCATGGAATCTGTTTTAATCAGTTAAAATTCAAACCATATGCTAATAATTAAGCTATAATATTCTTACAGCAGGAAATGCTGTTAAATTTATTACAAAGACAAGAGGGAATGACAGTATGTTTACTGTATGCTAATTGCTAATAATCTCTGAAAATACAGGTTAACTTCTAAAATGAGAGCAGAAATTAGTTTAAAAAATACAGCTTTTCTCACATGGTTATAGTTGTAATGTTAACTCTGTTCTTTGGTAAGATTATATGCACAATCTTTGTTAGGAAAAAGAAGTATTTTCTTTAAGGAAATCTTTAATTTTATGCCTATGGTTCTGGCTCTAATAATACAGCTTGCTTACTGTGATAACAAACTCTATATGGTTTTAAAATAAAATTAAAGTAACTTTCAATTAATTAGAAATTATTAGGTACCTTATTTCTTAACCTTTTCATTTTCTTTTTCACAGGGGCCCACAGCAGCTAATTCAGTATTTACAACTGACATTATGAAGAATGCAACTGACCGAGCATCTCCCTAGCTGTCTGAGCCACGAACTGCAAGATATTCTTTGAAGGATGAGATTTTAAGACATTAAGGAGTTAAAACCAGGGAAGAGATCTACATTACTGCTGGAATATAACAAATCAATGGTATCCTAAGAAGATACTAGATAAAACAGCCACAAAAAGAAAAACAATATAACTGTAAAAGCCTGAAAACAAAATGGTGAGCATTTTTAAAGGTTAACATACCAGAATTATGGAAGCTACTGATTCTTGAAGAAACATGAAATATGAATTTCCAAAAGGAGAATGTACATACTTTACCAACAAGCTAAATGAAGCTTTAGCAAATGTTTTCTGCACTATTCAGAAATTTGTATCAATTGATAAGACTAATGGATTTTTTCCATCTGAGTTTTATGGCCAACTATGTATCCTCTTCTAATGAAAACAAACCAAATTAAATAGCAGGTGGTTTTTATCAAAAGAACATGGACTGGATTTATCATATAAAGCAAGTTACATGATCAAGAAATCATTTCAAAATAATGAGGACTGCTATTTACAGTTGTAATTTATGAAAGGATGTCTAAATACATTTTAGAAGCTAAAAACCTTATGTTTCCTTTTTGGTTTTCACATATCCTGGAATATAAAGAGACACTATCATATATTCCTTCAAAGAGAAACATAATTCCTATCATTTGAGGAGGTTTTCTTTGGTCATGACTTTTTAAAGCAAAACAAACCCAAGTATTATGTACTGGTCTTTAGAAATGCATCAGCCAACTAAATCTCACAATTCATGCAGTTGAAGTATTGGAGAGAAAAATGAAAGAATTCCTACAAGACATGAAATAAAATCAGCTACTTCACTGTTGTCAGGTGAAAATTGATGTCAAAAATCTGGCAATGGCATCACGTACCAATTCGTGAAAAACTGCCATAGTGAGCCAAAAGGCCCATAAGGCAACAGCAAACAGGTAGGTCAGAAGATGCATGCACCCTACCACACTGTTTAACATTTACAAAAGAAAAGAGCTTTTCTCTAGAGGAAATGCATTTTTCTTAATTACCATGTAATTTGACATTTCTGCTTTATTTAATTGTAAATCTAACCGATACGACAAAGACCTGATGTTTAATCTGTCAGTTCAGAATATTTGGCAAACTTAAAATTTTCCATTTTTATAGGCTTTCGGTTTAGCTAAAACCATCACTTACTTGAATAAATATGCCTCTAGTAATGCTTTATACTATGCTCAAAAAGATTAATAACATTATCATTTGTGTTTCTGAAATATTAATCCCCCAAAAAATGTATAAATACAATTCTATCCTAAAATTTGTCAAAGGTTGTAAACCAGTAAAAGGTTAACATGAAATTTGAAAATTAGCTTTTATAATATATATTTGAGTATGAATTTGCAATTGAAATGCTGTACTTGAAATGTGAAATATAGTTGGTTGTATGACTTCGTATTTCAAGCTGAACATACTGATTACTGACATTTTAATCGAGAAGCAGACATTATTTTTACAAATTATGCTAAACCCCTATATATTAAAATACAGATTTGCATCAATGAGCTAAAGAGTTTCTTTTTTTAATTTTCCTAAAAATTATACACTGGGTAATTTATACAAGGGTTTCACAAGTAATGTGTAACTTAAAAAGCTTCCTCAAAAAATGGACTTCAGATACTCCTATTCCCTACAATTTCATTTCTTACTTTAAAAACTGTTTAAAGAAATAAAATTAACTGATATATTCTGTTAAACTACTTTTAAAAAAAAAAGCTATTTCTCAATATAATATTAAATTTCAATTTTATCCTTCCACAAAATATAAGAGGGTGTGGTCACAAAAATAAAATCATTCATAACATGATTACTGCTCCTTTTCCAAGCTTTGTGGCTTCTTTTTACTTTAACATAATTTCCCTTTTCTTCCAATTTTTATAAGTTTACCAAGTATAAAATTCAATGAGCATTTTAACTGCCATATATGAACTACTCATTATTTGCCTACGTCTGTGGGAAATAACTACAAACATACACCAAGCATGTTGTTGAGTTCTGAATATGAATTTCAATGAAGAACATGGACAAATTAGCTTAAAACAAACTGGTGCTCTGTACCATCTATCAGTTTAAATAAACACTTGTCCTGTTCATTTGAAATCTCACAGGAATAATTACACCTACACTAATTATGCTAGAGCATATTAAAATAGCATTTATTTCCCACCTACTCACAACATTTTAAAATGAAATTTTAAAACACTTGGGTTAATATTACTTTTGCATACTGGGTAGTTTTATTATACAAAAATATACTTTGCCTCAAATAGTAAGTTTGAAGAACCCAAATAAGGAAACCCTTTTTAATACACTAAATAATTTTGCATTACATGGGAATAATCCCCACACAGATATTTCTTCAAAGATAAAACCCAATTTCCTTTTACAGCAAAACAGTACAATCTTGGTGTTTCTTTCATAGTTACAAACTTAAAAATTAAACTTGCTGCTGTTAGGTACACAATAAAAAAGATTTTACAAAGAACACATGTTTTATACAAGTCATTTAAATTGCCAAATATCAAATAGTTTATTCTATTTCACTTTCTAGGAAAAACACCAACTGCTCCAAAAGAATGTGTTTTTCTCCCATTCTGGAAGTCAACATGCAGTCTGAATCTAACATTACAGTACGAGATGACATTGATGACATCAATACCAATATGTACCAACCACTATCATATCCATTAAGCTTTCAAGTGTCTCTCACCGGATTTCTTATGTTAGAAATTGTGTTGGGACTCGGCAGCAACCTCACCGTATTGGTACTTTACTGCATGAAATCCAACTTAATCAACTCTGTCAGTAACATTATTACAATGAATCTTCATGTACTTGATGTAATAATTTGCATGGGATGTATTCCTCTAACTATAGTTATCCTTCTGCTTTCACTGGAGAGTAACACTGCTCTCATCTGCTGTTTCCATGAGGCTTGTGTATCTTTTGCAAGCGTCTCAACAGCAATCAACGTTTTTGCTATCACTTTGGACAGATATGACATCTCTGTAAAACCTGCAAACCGAATTCTGACAATGGGCAGAGCTGTAATGTTAATGATATCCATATGGATTTTTTCATTTTTCTCATTCCTGATTCCCTTAATTGAGGTAAATTTTTTCAGTCTTCAAAGTGGAAATACATGGGAAAATAAGACACTTTTGTGTGTCAGTACAAATGAATACTACACTGAACTGGGAATGTATTATCATCTGCTAGTACAGATCCCAATATTCTTTTTCACTGTCATAGTAATGTTAATCACATACACCAAAATACTTCAGGCTCTTAATATTCGAATAGGCACAAGATTTTCAACAGGGCAGAAGAAGAAAGCAAGAAAGAAAAAGACAATTTCTCTAACCACGCAACCGGAGACTACAGACATGTCCCAAAGCAGTGGTGGGAGAAATGTAGTCTTTGGTGTAAGAACTTCAGTTTCTGTAATAATTGCCCTGCGGCGAGCTGTGAAACGACACCGTGAACGACGAGAAAGGCAAAAAAGAGTCTTCAGAATGTCTTTACTGATTATTTCTACATTTCTTCTCTGCTGGACACCAATTTCTGTTTTAAATACCACCATTTTATGTTTAGGCCCAAGTGACCTTTTGGTAAAATTAAGATTGTGTTTTCTAGTTATGGCTTATGGAACAACTATATTTCACCCTCTGTTATACGCATTCACTAGACAAAAATTTCAAAAGGTCTTGAAAAGTAAAATGAAAAAGCGAGTTGTTTCTATAGTGGAAGCTGATCCCATGCCTAATAATGCTGTAATACATAACTCATGGATAGATCCTAAAAGGAACAAAAAAATTACCTTTGAAGATAGTGAAATCAGAGAAAAATGTTTAGTACCTCAGGTTGTCACAGACTAGAGCAAAGTCTAAGTTTCACCAAAATTACATTCAGATGAGTTTTAAATTAAAATTGTAAAAAATAAAATTACTGCCAAATACAAGAAAAAAGTTTTTTAAGTATTGGTTATGTTGTAAATTTTCAATGTAAATGTCAATTAGATTAGGTCATATATATTCAATTTCTTCATTACTTAATGTATTTGTTGCATGGCAGTTTGTTGAAATAACATCATGTGTATATTTTGTCAATATTATGTCCATCAGAAGATATTAATGTAAGTCATATTTTCTAAAGAATAAATACATAGCCTTAAAATAGCATACAACTTTAAAATGTAACTGATACAGGTATCCCTGATTTTTTTTTATAAAGTGCATTGTTTCTAACATACTAACTACAGATATATTTATATGATGACAACTGAAATTGCATTTTAATATAAAAATGAAAATTATAGGCTTAAAACAATCCAGGATTTTCTGTACCACTACATTATGTTTTCTGATACAGTCTACTTGCTATATTTGACACATCAAAAAAAAATTAACTATGTATGAAGCATATATTTTCTGAATGTAGAAAGTTGTAGGATTTATCAGAATTTAAAATTCAAGAAACAGAAAATAAACAACCCTGTTGATGCATACCAAAGATAGGGAAAATTTTAAATCAAGTTTACTATGAAAAAAAAGTTTGATTTTCTAAGATCAAGGGCACTATGCCTATGATATACAAATAAACCAACAATAAAGAGAAGGAAGAAAACTAAACAAGTCTCTTTCTTCCTTTCTCACTTTGCTTCAGTCGAAGCCAAATGGTCTGGGTTAATACAGTACACTAGTAAAAACTGGTGCATTAAAATGAACAGATTTCCCAACTTTATCCAACTCAGCCTTTTGTAAAATAGAAAATAACTATCTATAACTGAATGCCAAGGAAAATAAAAAACAAAACAAACAAAAAAGACTGTATCATTGGACAAAAACCTAACAAAGCCAACTGCTTCTAATTTTAGATATATAGCAACTTTAGAGTAATACAATTTACACAACATTCGTACACTACCATAATTTCCGAAGTGCTTCAGAATATAGTAGTTCTATTTCCACTCTGAAAATCAATTTTCATTCTGAAAATCAATAAATCTTGTCACTTTTTCTATTCTACACCACTTAATTTAACTTTAAACATTTTCTCTCCAATCCTAAAATCATGTTGGAAAATTATAAAATAACTAATCCTAACTACAGATTCTCAGGATTAGGAATCGCATATAAAACAAATATTCCAATTGTTATAATCTAATAACCTATCAATGAGTGCTAATGTCACTATATCAGAGCATTAGCAATAAGTTGCTCAAAACAAATACTTGCTACGCAAAAATTGGGTTAACTTGACTACTTGTATTCTATTTTTTAACATTGTAGTCACTAAATCAAATAGCAACTCAGTTTTAGATGAATAAAAATTTTATGTCAAACAACACAATAATATATTATTTAATGCAAATGAATGAGATTCATCCAATCTCATTTACTAAATACCCTAAATCCCTGAGGAAGTAAGCATGATGCAATAGCTTGATTCCACTGAGGTTACACAGCAAATTAAGTAGTGATTTATTTCTGATAATGTTAACAAAAATCTCAAATCTTTGCAAAGCCCCAGTTTTCTTCTGCCGTATTTTCTACTGTTCTACAGAATTAAAGAATTGCTTCAGCTTGACAAAATGTAGCGTACAGCCAGCAAAACTTATTTTTTGAAACTCTGAAGAGAAATTAAGACCTCATAAATAAAGAGATTAAGAAAATTTTTATTTGATAAATACATTTGGCACAGAGTATCTCCTAATATCCTCATTAAAAATTTTAAAGAGGCAATTTTAAACTTGGATCCCCAAGCATAAAATGAAAATTTTTCATATTTTGTTTTATATAAATCTTAATAAAAATTAGACTTTTTATCATTAATATTAATGTCTTTACTCATGTTTTAATTATTTTTAATCTTCAAGTCTATAAGCATGCCAAAGAATTCAGTTTAAAAACATAGATTGCTAATATATTTACCTAACTGCTTTCATGCCCTCTGTGATAAGAAATCTAACAAAATAAGAAATAAATGGCAATTATTATAATGTTGCTCTCTAAACTACTACATTTCTACATTTGACATTGGAACAGACAATTAACAAGTATTTTCACCCACCTGTAATGATCTTCCCAGGAACCCTGATGGCACAATGGTTAAAGCACTCGGCTGCTAACCAAAAGGTCAGTGGGTCAAACCACACCAGCAGCTCCTCGGGAGAAAGATGTAGTAGTTGGCTTCCATAAAGATTACAGCTTTGGAAACCTCATGGGGCAGTTCTACTCCATCCTATAGGGTCACTATGAGTTGTGACTCGACAGGCAATGGGTAATGAATGATCTTTCAGGCATATAAAAATACAATCATTGATTTACCACAAAGAAAATTTATACTTATCAGAAAACTTTTAATAGCTTTTTAATACGTTAAATAGTACATAATATGTAAACCAAAATAATATTTGTGTTAAAAACTCCGTTTTTTAAAAACAAGTCACAAATATGTTTGCAATTACTGACCTGTTTAAAACAGAGAATGAGAGAAGCTTAGACAATTTTTCTTTTTTATTAAATGTTAGTTCTATGAAAAGGTGAGTTACTTTTATTTTCCTCATGATGGCCTTTGTGACAATGTGTCAATTTTTCACTTTATTTCAAAGAATTTTACCAGAAAAAAGCATAATTGCTCATTTTTCCTGTTAAAATGAAAATTGAAAATATAAAAGCCATAGAGGCAGCAATAAACTCCTTGACATGGGATCCTTCCAAAAACTCAGTATTGTTCTACCCATATGCTACAGCTCATAGATAAAGATATGAATTTCTATATAGTTAACTGAGTCAGTCCTTCAATAAGAACAGAAATAAGAACTGCTATTTTAAAAACTACTCAAAGATGAGCTCAACAAAGTATGGAAATTTTTGTTTACTTTTTCGTTCTGTTTATTAATTTAAGGGGATTAATTATTCTATCAACTACTATCCAATGGATGTTTAAACTTATTATAAAAATTGAATCATTTACAATTATGCCTTTTAATAAAATGCCATTCATAATAATTCTGTACTTCTTTCCATTGGTAAATCCATTTTTAAGTATGTGGTCTATTTTTTCATCCCCCAAATAAAATTATAACAAAATCTCAGTTCTTTGGACATTAAAAATCAGACTCTTCTTTTAACTAAGATTAGATTTAAAGGTGAAAACCTAAAATTATAAGAAAGCAGCCCATTACTAGAGTTTTATTCCACAAAGAAATTTCAAAGCTACTTTCCAAAGTCAGTATACTTCCAGTTTTACTGTATTTTATGATTAAACAATTAAGTAAGCTTTGTAATTTAATTAACATTTGAATTCTTACAATATAGAAGGCATTATGTAAGATACTTTAAACTACTTAAAATAGAGTCATTACCCTAAAGAGCTTAAAAACTAGAATAAAGGTATCTTAAAAGTATGGCAATGTCTGTAAGAGAAAGTAGAATGTGGTAAATTAAAAGAGTAAAACTATTAAGAGATTTAAGAAGAAAGGGATTATGTTAGATTCGAAAACACCATAAACAAAGCATTGTTGAGGGCAGCTACTACAATATATTCTGGGAGCAGCAAATTACTCTCTTTAGAAGGAAAGTAATATAGAAGTGAGAAATTGATGCAGAAAGTTAATTGGTGCCATAAGGTAGAAGGCCTTAAATGTCAGACTGAGAAATTGGAGCAAGGAAGTAATGTGATTAGAAATGAGCTTTAGAAAAATTAGTAGAACAGGAAACTGTAGAAAGAATTGGTTGGGTAAGACACAGAAGATAGGAGGCTATTGCCATAATCTTGATAGGTACTGAAAGGCATGGCAAAACGTGATGGCAATAACTCGGCAAAGACTACATTGAAACAGGCAATGTGAAAGCAGAATCAGTAGGGTTTGCCAAATGACTAGAAGGACACTGGTGTAAGGACTAAAGAATCAAAAATAATGACTATAAGAAGGACCATAAGAAATCAGATTATCACCAATGATCTAAGAGTTATTTAATTATGTTTTGCATAAACTACATGGATATTGAGGGCAAAAACAAAAAATAATTTTTGGCAAAGCAGAAAACTTAAGTAGAAAAAAATAACACTATTCATGAACGTTCTAGTTATTAAAACTGTATTCAAAATGAACATTTCAAATTGTTGCTTTAAATTATCTACTTTATATATAGCATGTTGGTTTGTTCAGTTTTTCCATTACACATAAATATTTTCTTCCAATAATTTATTTAATTACAAAGAATTATAAACATCTAATGGAAAAATGCCAGGGTATATAAAGTAAAAACTGCAAATATCATCCTTCCCTTCTTTTTTACTCTTAATAACTTATTAAGAACATCCACCCAAGTCATTATTTATATATACAGGCAGTCCCTGGATTATGAACAAGTTCTACTCCTAAGTCTGTCTTTAAGTCGAATTTGTACATATAAAGTCGGAACAGTTAGGTACAGCTCATATCTAACATCAGTTAGTCAAATGTTTGTCTTAGTGTGTAGTGTACCCTTCTATGGATAAAAAACATTAAAGAAACACTTCCAGATTCACTAAAACATCTTTAACATAATAATACAATAATAATGTTTTGATGCATGTCACAAAGTAGCCTCCATCTGTTATTACAAACCACTGTACATATCTCAAGTTTTTAATAAAACAGGCTTTACAGAGGTTGGTTCGTAACTATGGGTTTACGTAAGTCGGACGTTTATAACCTGGGGACTGCCTGTATATCCTTCATTCTTTTTCAATGTCTACATAAAAATAAATTTAAAAAACATATTAATATTTATAAAAGATAATATTAATAAAAGATAATTAATTCTTTTTTCTATTATAATCAAACAGCTTCAAGCTATATTTCAAGATCAAATATGAAGCAGAAGGTAATTTTTCTGAATGGAAGGAAGAAGCAAGGAAAAAACCATAAGATAATATATTGTTTTTCTTTCTCTCTACTAAATAAAATGAGAAATAAAAAACCAAAGGAAACTTTTGGAGACTATTTTCTTTACAGTTAGAGATAGGCACTTATATGTCCTCCTTATGAATATAAGTCCCCTAAAGGAAGAGACACAGCAACTACAGTGAACTCAAAGCTAAACATGAGATAACTAACAATAAATGTTAAGGAAAAAAACTCACGTCGTATTATAAAAGAGGAAAATAAGGACATAATAAAACCCGGAGATAATGGCAGGAAAAAGACCTACGATACTCAGAGATGCTGAGCTCTTAGAGAAATACAAAGAGAATATAGAATTGTGGGTTAAAGTTCACAGAAGAAAACTAATAGCTATTTGAAGACTGATCTTTTTCTAAAATGCATTCAAAACAATAAAAAGAAATTTAAAAAAAGAAACTCCAATTGATCAACTCAACAGATTCAAAATATAAAAACATATATTGCATAATAAGTAGAATTAAATTCAACATTAGAATATTAGAACAATTCACAGACGTTTGGAACAGAATGGTATTGATATGCAGAAACAAATGGAAAACTGGGCTCATCACTAATATGAAAGCTATCATCTTTTAAAGAATATTCGTTTCTGCAATAGAAAAAGAGCTGGACAATAATAATACTTAAATATAATAATATTTCTCTCCTTGCTCATGATAAAATAACACGTAGAAATAATCTTAAATAGTTCTACCATTCTATTCACACATTTTTAGCAGATCTCTATAAGCTACATCCATGTCTTTCAAGCATGACAGCTTTGTACTTTCACCAGCAAGTGGTAAAAAGTGCTGTCATTCCAGTCACTGCCATCAATATCAACTCACTACCACTATCAAACCCTGAAGCATCAAGTAAGATAAGGGAGGAGAGTTGAGGCTGCTGGGATTGGGGTCATCTTCTTCATCATGCTTTCATGAATGCCATATGTCATATATTTCTGAGAGGTTATTAAGCAAAGCAGACTGTCAGAGCATATCCACCAACTTTTCAGAATGAAGAGAAAAGGTAGCAGAGAGGATTATAAGGTTATGGAGAATCACTTTCACCCGCAGACAGTTGTGGACATACTATACAAATAGTAGATGCACAGTAATTTTTTTTTAATTTAATATAAAACTTTTTAATGTTACTGCTAAAAAATGTGAGTTCTGGCCATATTAAACCTAGGCTGGAGAAGTGATATCTATGTCAGTAATATTAAACACAGTCCCATATGTCAAAAAATATATTATTTATTGATTGGATAGAGAAGAACCAAAAATATAAAGATACATACTTCACTCTTAATGCCTTAAAAAAGAAAACCAAACCCGCTGCCGTCGAGTTCATTCCGACTCATAGTGACCCTATAGGACAGAGTAGAACTGCCCCATAGAGTTTCCAAAGAGCACCTGGTGGATTCGAACTGCTGACCTTCTGGTTAGCAGATGTAGCTCTTAACCACTATGCCACCAGGGTTTCCTCTTAACGCCTTAGGACCATTGAAATGTAAAAATCAAATTTACACAGTCTACACTTTTAACAGTTTTCTTCCCAAATCTTAAAAACTTTACTGTCTTTTCCTTTTGCTGTTGAATTTTTTTTACAACTATCACTTCTTACAATCCACAAAATCCTAGCAAACTATAGCTACCTAACTTGATAAATCTGTCTCAAATTCATATAATACAATAACAGTCTGTAATATAATGCAAACTTTTATAAAGCTTCAAAAAAATAATATATATGTACTAATCAGTGAATATTAGCGGAACTGAAAACGAACAACTTTTAAACTTCTGATCCTATTGTATGTTGTTTAGAAGAGTGTTTCTCAAAACATAGCCCACCTATATCAAAATCCCCTACTGTGCTTGTTTAAAATGCCAAGTCCTGGGGCTCCACCTCAGCCTTACTGAATCAGGATCTCTGGAAATGAAGCCTTGAAAAATCTACCTGTCAGTAAGTACTCCGAGATGGTGTGCTAAACTTTAAGAACCACCGTTTTTGATATTGGAAGACAGACTATATGCCAAAATGACATTCTGATAACTAATAAATAAAAAGATACAGAAGCAGCTCTGAACTCAATTTAGATCCTACTGTCTTCTTGAAGAAAAACATTTAAAATTTACATCACTTTAACTAATAAAATTTTAGTTGGATTCCCATATTACAATCCAGCAGGACAATAGTTTCCTCAAGACTAAAATTTCAGTTTATTAAAAGAAGTTATTTAAACAAAATTTTCTTTTAAAATCATACACACTCAGAAGATAAAACGGTACCAAACATGGAAAAGTAAGTGTTACTTACTTTCACGTCACTCAAATTCTTAGTTAATTACAGGTAGCCCCCAACTTACAATGTATTTGAGTTATGATGAACTGCACGTACAACCATCAGTGTATCTGGAACACTGCATCTTCTTAGAGGAAGATATGGGAAAATGCATGCAGGGGATATGGAAAAAATTGCTGAGTTACATGAACTTGCTCTAAGCATTTGATCAGGATAATATGATAAAAGAGATTGGTGGAAAAATCATCCATGTGGCAAGAACGCTGAATTTAGAACTTGGTATCACTGATGTGGAATAGCTCATAGATCACAAAGAAGGGGAATTGACAGATCAGGACTTAATGGATTTTAAAGAGGAAAGAAATGCTGAAGAAGAAAGAAATAATGAACAAGAGGAACAGAAAGTTCAAAAAATTCTGCAGTGAAAGGATTAGCTGTAGTTTTTAAAAACTAAATCAGGGATTACAGTTGCTTGAAAACATAGATCCAAATGCTGATGACTTTACTAAAGTTGATAGGCAGATTCAGGAACAGGAGATGCTACTGCAAAATATACGACGAGAAAAAGAAAAAAAACAGACAACTCTCACTAATTTTCTGACTAGAAACTCCATCCCCATTCCCAGGATAATCCAGATGATCCAGAACCTTCCACAAGCAGAGCTATTACCGCAACTGACAAAATGCCAATGTCATCCAACTCTTCTTCATTGTTGGAGTAAACCTTTATGATTTGTGTTTTTTTAAATGTATGTATGTATATATTAAAATATATCTGTAAGTCTGTAAGTCAATATATAATGTTTCCAACTGCCAAAGACAAAGATCGGACTTACAAAGATACTGATAATAAAAGGCGACAATATTGAAAACTAAAAAAAAGAGGTATGTGACTTAGATAGAACCAACTTAGACAGAGTCCTCAAAACAGAACCTCATCATAAATTAGTGACTACCTGTATAAAATTCCACAGCTACTGTTTGTCTTAAATTATCTTATTCTGACCAGAAATTAAACACTATAGTATTTCTGCTCATTTCAATACAGAATTTCTATTAAAACATAATACTGTACATAGAGGACAAGAATTACTTCTAAAATAAATTTGCAATGAAAATACTGAAAAACTGCATTTTGTGTATCTTTTGAACAGATGTCACTCAAGTTAGGTAGATAGTTTCAGTCAAACATTTTTCCTTTGTTATGCCATCAAAAACAGTTATGAAATATTCAACTACCCTTTGACATATTCATGATATCTTTAATTTCCTATTCTGTTTTATAACAGTTTAAGCAATACTAATACTTGCTGAATACCTCAAATGTTACTGATGAAACACTACCCTAGAAACATTTCTTACCAACCCTTTCATGAAAAATTCTTTCCAACTACCTTGATATTATCTTCTGTTGTAACTCTTTTGCTTTTTAATATTATCATCAATTGAACCATAAAACCAATCTATGACAACTTAGAATTGAAAATGGGCTGCTAGTGAATATTACTTAAATATATAAAGATAACCATTCAGGTGATTAGCTATGGCTACCTTACAGAAAGACCTCTGCCAAATAATATATTTCAGACAAACAGCAATGATTTTGATGCAGGGTTTCCTGGAGTCTCATAGATCCTCTGAAATTCTACGTAATTTTTTATGGACATATACATGTGTGTGTTTTTCCTAGTGCAAACATTTACAAATTTAATAAGACCCTCAAAAGAGTCTGAAACCCAAAACTAAAACAAAACTATTTTCAGTGTTAGAAAGAAAGTAGAGAAGCAAAACTGGTAAATGTTACATATAATTTTACTTATTTATGCTCTGCCTTATTCTAAGGAGAATATAAGACAACTTTAAAAAGCATACAATATTAGATACAATTAAACTAAGTGAGAAATAAAATTAGGGCAAGGAGGGTAAAAAGAATTGTAAAAAATTAGAAACTCTGGTATGAAAAGAAAATGCAAAATCCTTATCATTAAGTCCTGCACTCTTGCAAGAGGTGAGCCATAAATTGTTCCCTAGGCTTTCTATTAGGTAATTTAAAAAGGAAAAAGAGGTTGATTACACAACTTTTAGTATCCATAAAATAAAAATCCTATAGCTGTTCAGCAGAAGTACAAACAATTCCTGGCACTCAGACCAATGTTTCTCATGGGTCTTCTCAGAAAGTAAGTAGATAATGTATAAACAATGTTTTCCGCAGGATT